TTTTGTGAAAAAAAATGTAGATGTTTTTGTAGAGATTTTTTTTGTTGTATATACACTTTGTGAATTATGATGTTTCTCCCGCACAACAGCCTTTTATATGGTTAAAAAGAATTTTTGCTACCTCGGAGGAAAACATTAAAATTGGTCGCACTTAGATCGTTTTCCCCGTAACAAATCTAACAGTTGGCTGGCGTGAATTTTCCAAACTTATTTTTCTTATTGAGATTCGTAAGTGTACAGGACATGTTCACCGCCCTTGACTTGTCGCTGTCCATAAAACATTTTACTTGAGTAATCTATCTAAAGCACGCGAGGCATTCGACCGGGCTCTCGTAGGTTTACTAATTCGTTCCAAGAAGCCTTCACGCAATTCAAAGTGCATAGAATTAAGGTGAAGTGTTGCCAATTTTTTCGCAAGCCCTTTGAAAGGTTTTAAGATATAGCGACTGTTTTCGTGGGAAAAACTTAAAATTCAAAGGGAGTGATGAAAGATAACTGCTTAAAGTAAACAAGAATGTAGTACCCTATTTTGAAGCAAGGGCGCTTAATGGAGGTGCCTTCTTCGGCGCAAAGACACATAGCCTTAAAATATTGCCTCAATCAATTAACTAATTTTGGTCTATTTTAAGTGTTACCGTAGGCATGCTTAATTTCTTGATTTGTATAATAAACAGCAAAAACCAGTTAAGACCAAGATAGTAATTGGCCCGGGGCATAGTGGCTCGACCGGCCTGATTAAATGCCCCCAGCAGCTTTGGCGATGCCTTGCCCAGAACAGCGGGATTTCACGACGGTTCTAGAGAGTTCGAGGGGACCAGCTGGACCCCCCAACATGGTTTGGAAAACCCAGAGGCGTGTTCTCTCTGATTATAAAAAAACAAAAAATTTGTAGCCAGGTGTGTGGTGCGTGCCTGTAAGTCCGCCACCATGCGGTTGGACTTCTCGAGGGAGGCTTGAATGGGCAGGTAGGAATTGCCTTGTTAAAAAAAACACGCTGGTGTGAGGTGTGCAGTCGAGCCGCGGAGATCGGTTGCTTCTGCGGTGCCAACTCGTTACGCGCTTGGTGGTGACAGGGCTGATAGACTCGTCTAAAAACAAAAACGGAGAAAAAAAATAAAAATAAAGAAGAAAAACATGAAAATTGTGAACCACAGGTACTCCCTGACTACAGACCTGGCGCGCCCATCACCTGCAGCAGTTGCGTAGTTATTGAAAGTTGTTGTTAGTAAGTATCTTTAAAGATTACTTGTTAGAAAAGTCGTGTAATACAGTAATGTTACTTGGCTAACATGAATCTGACAGCACAAATCAATAAACCGTACAGACGCAAATTTAAATTAACTCAGTGAGCCTGAAATGAAATCCGTTGTTTCCCAACAGCTTATTGATGTTTCTTTTAAGAGCGAGAAGCTTTGGATGGAAGAGGAAGTGAAGAGCTTGTTAAAGTCCTACTGTAGCTGTCCTACTAGTTAACTTGAAAAGTAGCTCTCATAATGCTAAAGATACATGAGAGGATTTTGAATAAAACTCTTGTGAAATGTGAGAATGGAAAAATTTTACTAAATTAACATAGTTCATGTAACATATGATTTTAAATGTCAATATAGGCCAGGCATGGTGGCTTACTCCTGTAATCCCAGCACTTTGGGAGGCTGAAGTGGGCAGATCACTTGAGGTCAGGAGTTATAGACCAGCCTGGCCAACATGGTGAAAGTCCATCTCTACTAAAAAATACAGAAATTAGCTGGGCTTAGTAGTGCATGCCTGTAATCCCAGCTACTCGGGAGGCTGAGGCAGGAGAATCGCTTGAATCTGGGAGGGGGAGGTTGCAGTGAGCTGAGATTGTGCCACTGAACTCCAGCCTGGACAAAAAGAGTGAGACACTGTCAAAAAAAAAAAAAAAAAAAAAAAAAAAAAAAAAAAAAAAAAAAAAAAAAAAAAAAAAAAAAAAAAAAAAAAAGTCAAAAGTCAATATATAAATTCACAAATTTAATTTATAACTAGACATTTGATCAATGTTTATCTTAAAACATTTATACATTCAAGTTAGCAAAAAAAATTGGTTTGGATTTCCTCATAGAGAAGATGGGAAAATGTCTTATGTTATATTTGTGTCTTAGTTCATTTTGTGTTACTATAACAGAATACCTGAGACTGAGTAATTTATAAAGAAAAGAGGTTGATTTAGTTCTGCAGGTTGGGAAGTTAAAGATCATGGCCCCGGCTTCTGACAAGGGCTTTAGTGCTGCATCATAACATGGTAGAGAAGGTCAAAGGGGAAGTGGACACATGACAAGAGGCAAACTCCAAGGCGCGTTGGGCTTTATAACAAACCACTCTCTCATGATCACCTTCTACTCAACAATATATGGTTTATCACTGGCCCTTATTTCTGAGTTCATTAATATACTGAATCTGGTTAAAATGAGAATTAAATAGCAGCTTTGAAAGAAAAACAAAGGGACAATATAATAAAAGGGAAACAGGGGACATGAAGGATGTACATGGCAACAGCCCATATTTTCAGGTAACCAGTCCCAGTCCTATGTATGTTATTCTGGAAATAGATTTCTCATAGTTTATTTCACAGATGCTGGTACGTGTCCCTTTCTTCTCTCTAGCTGCCCATTTCAAGAGTCACTAGAAGTACTTGTGGCTCTTAATACAAGGCTCAGTATCCCAAATGACAGACTCTTAATGACCCCAATCAGTTTGATACTCCTGTCATGTCCTTTGTCTGCTATGTTAAAAAATGTAAAAAATTTGTGTAGGATCTGGATATTAAGAAAAAAATGGAAATATATATTATATATATATATACACATACATATATATGGTTTCAAAACAAATTGCTAAGGTTTGAATTTCTCCTCATCAAAACTCTTGTTGAAATCTGACCCCAATCTCAGTGTGGGAGTATTGGGAGGTGGAGACCTAGTAAGAGGTGTTTGGGTCATGGGGGCAGATCCGTCATGAATGGTTTAGTGCCTTTTTCATGGTAATGAGTGAGTTCTTACTCTCATGAGATTGGATTAGTTCTCTCAGGAATGCTTCTGAATGGGTTGTTATACAGCCAGCACGCCCCTTGATTTTGCCTCTTCACACAGGTCTGCTTCCCCTTTGACCTTTTCTGCCATGTTATAAAGCAGCACTAAAGCTCTCACCAGAAACCAGGGCCATGCCCTTGAACTCCCCAGCCTGCAGAACCATGAGCTAAACTTTTTTACTTTATAAATTTCCCTGTCTCAGGTATTCTGTTATAGCAAAACAGACTATGACACAAATGTTTAGTGTTGATTGGAAAAATGACATAGAAATAAATATTCAGTAAGAGAAGAAACAATTCTTTCCACATGTATCATATGATGGTATCCAGGACTTCTATAACATGACACAGATGACTTATGCCTGCTTACTTATTGAGCTGTTCAGTAAGAAAACCGCCTATTTGTTCATATTTATTGTCTTCAGTAAGCTTGCTTGGAGTGTCTTGTAGTTGCTAAGGATAAGAAAGTCAATGTTAAGTAAATAGAAAGACTGTTTCTTCCTCTCTGCAAAGAAAATGAGAATATAAATTCTAAAGAACCATATGAAATAGGAAGTTCCGAACTAGAGAGTGAAAGATATAGGACATGTATGCTATTGTAATCTGAACTGAGCTACTGAGCTTCATATACTTGTTTCTCCTGGCTGCCTGTGCAAACTGCACATACTGTGATGTGGGGTAGCCACAGATTAGTTTAACGACTTAGTAATAGGCCTAAAGAACACTTAAACTGTGTTGCTAGTCTGTATCGCAATGCTCTAAATACAGCTAAAGATTTTCAATTTTGATTCTGAGCAGAAATTGGATATAAAATTTGCCTAAATACACAGTATGCCATACAGTGACACATTTATTACATAAAAAGTCAAAATAAAACAAAACAAAAAACAACCTAATTCAAGGGCATCTTTGGGGCTGGAAGATGCCGTATCAGAACATGACTTTATGTTCATCCTAAACCCCAGAAATATGCAAGATATGAGCCTATCACAGATACCACATCCAGCTTGAACAAACCAGCCAGCAACACTTTCAAGCTTTACTGAAAATAAGGCAGAATGAATGGTAAGTTAAAAGGTACTGAAACCTAGCATAATGTTGGTATCATGAACTATATCCATGACATCAGTGTAAAAGTAAAACAAAGTTTTTCTGTAACTTCTAATATCGTCAGGTAGGTAATCCGTTGATTTTTGAGAACACATGACCACTTTCCATCACTTGTTCCTCTTAAGTTTTTCCTTTCCATAGCCTTTTCTTATCCCCTTGGCATTTAAATTCTCTTTTTACTGTCTCCCTCTTTTTCCCTGTCCTACTAATATCTTGAGTCTGCCAGCAGTATTCCTATGTATTTCAGTGTTGCTGGCAGCATTTGCAATTAGGAAAATGCTGACCCTTGGCTGAAGGAGAATGTTTCTCAATGTTTTGTGAATTTTAAATTAACCTTGGTAAAAAAAAAAAAAAAAAAAAAGGTTTCATTGTTATCACCTAAATGAAGTGTAATACATCTAAACAAGAGAACATGGAACGCAATGTACCTTGAGAGCTACAAAATCATATGGATGAAAGCCAATACAGGCTTCATGAATTTGGGACATCATTCGAGCTGTTTTCTCCCAGAATCCAAGCAGTGTTCTCTGCAAAAAAAGAAAAGGTGACACTACAGTTCTCCTTCACCTCCATGATTTTTTAAGTGCTATATTTCCTTACTAGTTTAGTAGATGAACAGTTGCCAAATAAGAAGCAGCAGGAACTAAATTCAATTTTCCAAGTTTTCGGAACCATAAAGCACTGCAAATAGTGATTGTGCATAAGAATTGGCATCTTTGTCTGCACGTGTGGGTGTTATCTGTATAAATAGCACAGGAATGCACACTGGAGCCACCTAGAGAGTAACTGCAGCTAAGAGAATGAAAACTTAGGGATTAGAACATCTGAGATATCAAAAAGAGAAATGTTAAAAGCACAAAAATACCAGTCTCTGTTAAAGGAGGGACACATGTGTAATCTTTATGTTAATGGGAATATATAAAACTTTTTAATTGGAGAAAAATTACATTTACCACTAAAAATTACATTACCACTAAATCTGGCCTTTCATCTAGAGTTCAAGAGAGATTTGCCAAAAAATGTGTTCTCAAGCTAACTCAAGTAATTGGAAATTTTCCTCGCTGCTTCAGGGTTCCTGATTAAAGTGAGGGGGATGAATGGAGAGAATAAAGGAGAATTGAACTCATAGCTGTTGTGTTTCAGGCAAGATGCTAAACAGATATCACACACAGTTATTTTCAAGTGCATCCTTTCTCCATTCCTGAATCCCACAGTACTGAACTGAAATAGGCAGACTCCCTAAAAGCAGGAGTTAATGTCCATTTCCTGTAGTTTATTACTCTTTTCTTATGTAAGTACAGTTTATTCAATTTTTTCCATTTAAAAATATATGTAAAAATCAAAAACTGCTTATTAATATCTAACTTATTCATTGTGTGTTATTTATATGTGATTTGTGGTAATATAAGCACAAGTGAGACTTCTGAAGTTAAAGTGATACAGGATGGCAACTTGGCAGAATGAAAAGAACATAGAACTTAGAATTAGAAAACTTTGGTTTCTAAGCCCAACACTGCTATTCAAAGGAATCTAATCACACATAGTTTTTTGCACCCTCTAGACAACTTTTAAAAAGGAATCTCACCACTCATCTTTACTGCAAGGACATGCTGACCATGGAGGTGGGTACCTGGTAGGTAGTGAGCGAATGAGATAGCATATTGCAGCGACTAGCTCCAAGTAAATCCACTTTCTGACAAACATCCATCTTTAACTTGTCAAAAGAAGCTTTGCTATTTCTCACTTGCATCTGTACCTGCAATAAAATGCTAATTTTTATTACAGATATATAGTATAAATATAGTACAAGGTTCATAATAAATAGTTTCAGAAATAAATTATAATAAAGACTAATTCCTTTTCCCTGTATCATTAATATTTCATGAGTAATGATGACGATTTTGGCTACTGTTAGTAATTGTAGGAGATTCTTTCCAGAAGATAGCTTTATGCTGAGAAAGTATGAGATAATAGATGGAAAGCAAATCGTTTCTAAAAAACTATTCCAAATAAAAAGAAACATTTAAAACTATTCATAGATAGCACTTAGCTAAGAGCAGAAGAATAAATGGAAAGGGGACCTCGTTAAAGCACTGAGAAATATTAATAATATTTCTGAATCATGCAGATATTTATAAATTCCAGTAGAGGCCTATTGTATTTCTTGAATAAATGGTGAGTCATGCCATCAGGTAGTGTGAATACTCAACTTTTTAATATATTCATTCAACAAATATAAGGTACCTATTATATGCAAGGCATTGTTCTAGGCTCTGAGATACTGTGGTGAACAAAACAATGTTCTTCCCCACCATCCTTGGGTAGGAAGGCACACGAAAAAAAGAAGTAAATAAATATATAGTTGCAAAAGTAGCAAATAAGTAAACAGAAATGAATGACTGATGACATGAAAGTCCCTGGTGAGATCATGCATGATGTTTGAACTGGGACAGAAAGATGATGAGCAGACTACGCTAAGACCCTGGGAAGAGCATTCCAGAACTAGGGACAAGCAAGGACAAAGGTTCTGAGAGTGGTAGGGGGTGAAGACCTTATCATGTTAGAAGAACAAGCAGCAAGGAGGTAGAGCACATTCTTCCTGGAGTGTAGGAAGCAAGTACAACATGTGGTTGTGGAGGGACCAGGGATCAGGCCATGCAGGGATTTTAGGGTCCAGATAGGGACTTGGATTGTATTTGACGTGGTTTGACTGTGTCCCTGCCAAGATCTCATCTTGAATTCCCACATGTTATGGGAGGGACCCAGTGAGAGATAATTGAATCATGGGGGCAGGTCTTTCCCATGTTGTTCTTGTGATAGTAAGTCTCACAAGATCTGATAGTTTTAAAAGGGGGAGTTTCCCTGTACAAGCTCTTTTTGCCTGCCACCATCCATGTAAGATGTGACTTGCTCTTCCTTGCCTTCTACCATGATTGTGAGGCCTCCCCAGCCACATGGAACTGTAAGTCCATTAAATATCTTTCCAGTCTCGGGTATGTCTTTATCAGCAGCATGAAAATAGACTAATACATTATTCTTCTTTTAAAAATTGAGGTGAAAGTTGCATAACATACAATTAGCAATTTTAAAGTGTTTAATTAAGTGGCATTTAGCGCATTCACAATGTTGTTCAATCACTCCCTTGGACTGTATTCTGTCAAAGGATGTAAAAGGGATGGAATACGAGGTTGTTGTGGCCTGAGGCCATGTATTCACCTACTTCATAGGGCTGTTGTGTATAATCAATGAGGCAAACCACTTAACATCTGGCCCAGAGTCATGACTCCATCAGAATTAAATATTATTATTTTTATTATGGGGTCTCTATTTATGAAATGAATGATAAAATGAATTTTGTTATTTATGTATCATACAATGAGGGGTTATAATTTATAATAAGGAGTTTATTTAGCAAAAACATATGTTCATACATAGTTGCTTATGAAGTCTGTGGCCAAACTTTGTATTGAGACAATAAAAATTTTGATAACCTTCATATTTTCTTATAATTAACAATCATTTTACATGAGTTTTTACTTAAATTACTTTTGTCCCTCTGTAATAAACTATTTTCTTCCTGCAACGAATCTCAAAAGTTCAAGCAAGCACATTTAAGAAGTAATTTAGATCTATCATGAAACAGATAAAAAAATTAATAAAAAAGGTAGACGGTGTGAAGATGCCACTCCAGGAGTAAAAATAAAAGTGTGATAAACTTTTGTACTTCAACTACAGTCTCCAAGCAACCAAGAATGTATAATGAAACATATATTTCTCAACAAACACCTGAAATTTTATTATCTTAATTATTCTGTGGCAGTTCCATATTTCATACACCAAGAAAAGGAAAAGGATACATTTTCATACTTTTCTAAACTTTTCCATTTGCTTTAAGGTGTCTGGGTCCAGCTCTTGGGATACATCTTTCATCCACAGCAGAGCTCCTCTGTATTCTGTGCGCGCCTGCTCCATCCGATTAATTGTCATCAAGGTATCAGATACCGCCCTTTGGCTGAATGTTGCTACTTCTTGCTTCAGACGAGACAGAGGAGTACACAGGGCCAATCTAATGGCAGAGAGGTAAAAATCAGAGGGTTGAACACATCATAAGTAAAACAAAACAAAGTTTAAACCAATGACAAAGCATATTTGCTAACAAGATGAATCTACAAGTAAAAATTTATTAAGTTCCCTAAGGAGATTTTGAAAGCAAATAAGGATCATATAGCCAACTCTGAATTATCAATAAATATGTGTTGGCCGGGAGCGGTGGCTCATGCCTGTAATCCCAACACTCTGGGAGGCCAAGGCGGGCAGGTCACCTGAGGTCAGGAGTTTGCGACCAGCCTGGCCAACATGGCGAAACCCTGTCTCTACTAAATGCAAAAGATTAGCCGGGAATGGTGGGCGGGTGCCTGTAATCCCAGCTACTCGGGAGGCTGAGGCAGGAGAATCACTTGAACCCGGGAGGTGGAGGTTGCAGCAAGCCGAGATGGCACCACTGCACTCCAGCCTGGGCAACAGAGTGAAACTCCACCTCAAAAAAAAAAAAAAAAAAGTGTCTAAACCTCCCCCAGTATTACTTTAGGAAATATGTCATTTTGCAATACTCTGGATGTTATTCCATGTATAAATAACCTGAGAAGTAAATGTGCCATTTAGAAAACAGTTCTGAGAGGAACAGAGAACCTGCATTCATAAAGCATAATCCAATTAACAGAAAGCCTTTCATTTGACAAGTTCAGGGAAAACCTGGGTTTGGAAGAGTAGATGAAATGCTAGGAGAACTAATGAGTATGGAGTTCTTAGCAGCTGAGGATGAGGACAAGATAACAAGTATTTAAGAAACACAAATTAAATCCAATTCCTCCTTTTTGCTTAGTGGCCATTGGAGGGCCCTGTACTTAGTACCTCCATGTCACTTCCTTCAAGATAGACTTCTGCACTGACGTGATGTTTCAGAATAAAGCTATATAAATTGGATACCATCATTATAGGTCTGATAAGGACTGTTTTATTCTTAAATGCTAAAGATTTGGGCTCGGTTTAGTAATTATAGGAGATTATTTGCAGTAGGTATCATTATATTAGAAACTGAAATAATAACTGGAAACTATGTAATTAAGAAGAAAAAATTCTTCTAATTAAAAAGTACCACTGTATTTATAGTATGGTATCAAAAAGTGAAATTGGAAATACACATTTTTAAGATGTTAGTCATTCTGTGACTGTTACATTAAACCAGTTGAGAAATATAACTGACACTTGTCTGATTTTAGGGGAAATAAAAGAACATCAATCATTAAATAATTATTCTGAATACAAAATTAGTAATTAAGAATTAGGTGTCAAAACATATAACTGTGGTATATTTCTCTTTAACCCTTTATTAGAATGAACAGTGACCTTTACAAATATGCAAATTTAAGTACATATGTCAAAACTGTCAGATTGACTACAGATTCAAGATAATGAACCACCATGGTAAACCTTTGCTTGGCTGAAGAACAAAGTGCCTTGCCAGTGGCGTCCATCATTTTGCCAGCTTGAGTTGCATCCCGTTCCGCTTGAAACTTTAAAAAGAGCCCTAGCTCATTTTCTTCCTCTGATATAACTAGGAAAAAAATTACAGTGTAGTTAATTGTTTCCTTTCATCATTTGTTTAAAACATATACACAACTACAATTCTCACAGCAATAACTTTCTATACAAGATTTACTTGGGGGAAGAAGAAGAGAGACTTATTTTTTAAATGCAATTCCTGGGCTCCATTTCCAGAGACTCTACTTTCCATAGGTCTAGGGAATCTGGCTTCTTATCAGCACTCCAGATGGTTTCGACACAGTGAATCCATGGACCTCGCTTTGAGAAGGACTGATTTTTAGTGACAAAAATCTCTCAAAACTACAAAACAAAGCCATAAATGATGCATTTTCAAATGTGCAGAGATGTATTTTAGGATAATTGCCTCTTACAAAGTGTTTCCTATTTAAACTTGTTAATTCATTCTTGACTCCATCCTGGCTTCAGTTTCCTATGATTGGTATCCCAGACCCACAGATGTCCACAGTTCTGCTCCAGCAACCCTAAAAACTGTCATCTAGTGCACTGCTGCTCAAAGTGTGGGCCATGGACCAGTATCGGTCCAGAATCCTCTGTTACCAAGCTGTGACAAGCAAAGAAGGAAGGAAACTGAGAATAACTGTGTAGAGACTTTGAGCATTTTATATTTGTCAAATCTAATAAAGTGAGCTTATAATTCATTTTTCACACATTTTATTTCATTTTTCTAAAAGTTATTTTTTTAAAAGATGGGATCTTGCTCTGATGCCCAGCCTGGAGTGCAGTGGCTTGATCATAGCTCACTGCAACCTCGAATTCCTGGGCTCAAGTGATCCTCCTGCCTCAGCCTCCTGAGTAGCTTAGACTACAGGCATGAGTGCTTGGCTAATTTTTAAAAAATTATTTTAGAGGCAGGGTCTCACTATGTTGCCTATGCTGGTCTCAAACGTCTAGCCTCAAGCCGTCTTCCCACCTTGGCCTCCCAAAGCACTGGAATTACAGGCACGAGTCACAGTGCTCAGCTAAAAATTCATTTTTATTGAATTTTACAAAGGTATCAGTTTACAACAGATTGAAAGTAAACCATGCAACAAAAAAAAAGTCCTTCACCACAATTTAAGAAATACTGATCTAGTGTAAGCTGATCCTGTAACCACAATAAGACTAATAAGGGGAGAAAACCCACTGCACTCCAATTATAAGCTTAAAGTACATAAACAACAACAAATGTCATGCCTAATTTCATCCTACTTCATAGAAAATCAAAGTTAAAACGGAAAGGTAAATGCCTGGCTATTTGTGGGCAGCAACAGAACTCAGGCCTCCTCATGCTGCCTCCCCACTCCCCCGTCCCCGCCGCCATGCCTGTAAGAGTGACCCAAGGAGAGCACAATGGTGTAATGAGGAAGGTGTCTACACAGTCTGTAGTCTCATCTCTAATAAAACCATGAACAACCGACCTGATACAGAGCAGATACGGTTTGGGGAGTCACGCTAATTTAATGCTGATGTACAGTTTACACATTTCCTTTGAATCAGAACTTCATAAAATATACCTCAATGAAAATTACTAGGGCTGGGCACAGTGGTTCACACCTGTAATCCCAGCACTTCGGGAGGCCGAGGCGTGTGGATCACGAGGTCAGGAGATCGAGACCATCCTGGCTAACACGGTGAAACCCCATCTCTATTAAAAATACAAAAAATTAGCCAGGCATGGTGGCAGGCGCCTGTAGCCCCAGCAACTCAAGAGGCTGAGGCAGGAGAATGGCATGAACCCGGGAGGTGGAGCTTGCAGTGAGCATAGATCATGCCACTACACTCCAGCCTGGGTGACAGAGCGAGACTCCACCTCAAAAACAAAACAAAACAAAAAACCTACTAGAAAATATTCATTTGGGTATAGTGGTTCAGAAAGCACTTTGAATACTTGGAATACTTCATTATCAACTATCAACTGAACATAAATGATCACTGAAGCTTACCTTTATCATTGCAGAAAGGGCAGTCAGTGAGGCTGAATCTTTGCCGCTTCTATGTTGAGACCTGCCTGCCAAAATCTACAGAGACCCCTCCCTGACGTGTTCTCCCCGCAGTCAAGAGATTCCCATAAATTTATGGTGCTGGACTAACCTACTGCATTTGTCTGATGTTACTCCCAACAGATGTATTAATACAATTGTCTTCAAGAAATCACGTATTTATACACAATCTTGAAGCGAAAATACACAATTAAATCTATATATGTATATCTCTTCCTTATTCTGAAATGCTCTACCAGAGTGCTAAAAGATCTAGTGATTTCAGGGTATATAAACTTGCTGATTTTCTTCACATTTTCATTTCTAAGACAGGACTCACTTGGTCCAGTGATTGTGATGGCCTTTTACTGCTTGGTAAAATATATAAGGTCATTAGTAATCTGACCCCAAATTTCCTTTGTTCCTTTATCCTCCCATTAGTTTCAATGACAAACTCTTCTGTCCATGCAGGCTGTTCTCATTCTTTAAGCTCTTTAAACTCCAAGTCTCTTCTCTACATGTTCAACTTCTATAAATCCTTTAAGTTTTACCTCAATTCCTGTCTATGGAGTTGCCTTTACCAATTACTCTAATCCATGGTTATTTTTCACTCCTAGGAATTCAGTTATGTCTATATCATTATTCTGAACTCAATTACATACTACTTATATTGTCTCTCTTTTTGTTACAAAAGTTGTTTCTCCAACTATTTCCTTGGGAAAAGCACATGGCAGGTAGTCAAAAAAATACTTGAATAATCATGCTTTATTGGATTTCTTTCTTTAATGGGACAATATATAAGATCTTATTATAAAGTGATCAGATTAATTTACGTAGCTACATGAGAAAAATTATTGATTCATTGAAATCAAATATTTATCGAGTACTGACTACATGCTAGACCATTGTTTCTAGACTGTAGACACAGAAATATAACAGAAAAATTCTGTCCTGGCCGGGCACAGTGGCTCACGCCTGTAATCCCAGCACTTTGGGAGGCCAAGGCGGGTGGATCACAAGGATAGGAGTTCAAGACCAACCTGGCTAAGATGGTGAAACCCAATCTCTACTAAAAATACAAAAATTAGCCGGGCGTGCTGGTGAGTGCCTATAATCCCAGCTACTTGGGAGGCTGAGGCAGAGCACTGCTTGAACCCGGGAGGCAGAGGTTGCAGTGAGCTGAGATTGCGCCACTGAACTCCAGCCTGGGCGACAGAGTGAGACTCCGCCTCAAAAAAAAAAAAAAGTCTGCCCTTAGGGAGGGCATATTCTAGTGGTGGGAAGAAAAACAATGGACAAAATATATAGAATGTTGAATATTGTTAACTGGACAGGGAGTCTTGAGAGAAAAGAGTATTGCATTGCATTGCATTGTATTGTACTGTATTTTTTGTACCCTCTGAGGGCAGAGAGTATTGCATTTTAGATATGCAGTTCAGGGAGGGCCTCATTTAAAAAGATGACATTTGACCAAATACACAAAGGAAGTTAGGGATTCCACTATGCAGATATGCCTACTATGTAAGGTATTAATATGGCTAAAGGGGAGAAAGTTTTAGGAGGTGTGATTAGAGAGGTCGCCATGTCCAGCAGGCCCGTGGTAATTAAAAAAGGAGAAGTGATCCAAAGATTGAGTTTTAACCCGAACAGGTCCAGGAGAGAAGAGAATCAGCAAAGACAGGATGCCAAGAAAGAGTGACCAGGAGGAGGAAAATCCGGAAAGCCAAGTGAAGAAAGTGTATCAAGGAATAGGAAATAATCAACTGTGTTAAATAATGTGATAAGCCAGATTTAGATAGGAGTTGGTTAATCACGACCTTGACAAGAGAAATTTGGTGGAGTGATGAGGATGAAAACTTGACTGGAGTGAGTACAAGAGAAAGTGGAAGGAAAGGAACAGAGACCATGCATACAGACAATTACATCATGTTTTTCTGTAAACAGCAGCAGAGGAATTAAATTTAATTGCAAGGGCAAGTGGGAGTCAAGAAAGAGAGGTTTAAGTGATGGAAACAAATCCATTTCAGATGCTGGGCAGGCCCAGGCCTGGTGACTCACACCTGTAATCCCAGCACTTTGGGAGGTTGAGGCAGGAGGATCACTTGAGACCAGGAATTTGAAACCAGTCTGGGCAGCATAGTGAGATCCTGTGTCTACCAAAAAGTACAAAAATTAGCCAGGTATCCCAGCTACTTGGTAGGCTGAGGCGGGAGGATCACTTGAGCCCAGGTGGTGGAGACTGTAGTGAGCTGTGATCGCACCGCTGCACTCCAGCCTGGGTGATAGAGAAAGACCCTGTCTCAAAGAAAAAAAAAAATATCAGCAAAACATAAATCTGGGTTAGAGGATTTGATTAACTGAGGAGAAAAGAGAGAATACTGGGGCGCCTTTGAGAACAAGTCACTGTAAATATTCATATTCTGCCATAAGATGCTATTCACAAAATTGTTCTACTATTACATTAAATCTTTCATTTTAAAAAATGCTAATATTTATTTTAAATGGGAATTATCAGATAGATATCTAGGATTTCATACCATTGAGTCTTAGCTGGTATTTCTCGACTATCTTCAGAAGTTCAGTGCATGTCTCTTGAACGGAGTGAAAAACCTTGAGATATAAATTTTATTAGGACAATTTAAAGAACTATAAACAAACATGTTATAAGCACTCCAAAAGCATAACATTTTCTTATAAGTATTATGTCTGTTTTAAAAACATTATGTCTATTTTCCTTGGCTATGACGTGTGCTTTAGTTTTGGTTTTACTTCCTATGTAGAAAGCACATTCCCCCATGAGAGCTGGAAAAAATGATAATAAATATATGGGAGCAAACAAAAAATTAAAAGTGACGAATTTGTCCTCATCTCAGCTCCAAACAATCTAAATAACAAAAACATAAATCTAATATAAACTGCATCAAATATTGCCAACCACAGATGAACAGAGTGTAGATAAACTTACAAAGTGTTAACTCCGAGTCTGGCTTTTCTTCCATACTGGTCTAAGCAAAACAGATTAGTGAATTTACTATAAAAATTAAATAATGTATTATAACATCAAATATAAATTATTTTTAGATTTTTTTAAAGAATTTTCTATAGATATTAATTCTTTCATTACTACTGCTGCTAATTGCTAACAGAAAAGGAAATATCCAGTAGACTCTCGTTTCAAAATTAAGCACATGAAAATTTGAAATGAGGCCACACTATATACGTGACATAAATCTTCAACGAATTAATACATGTAGGTGTTCCCAGATAAACAAGCCAGCGTAAGTTTTAGAGTATAGCTACAATGAGGATTTTTTTTTTTTTTTTTTTTGAGGTGGAGTCTCACTCTGTCGCCCAGGCTGGAGTTCAGTGGTGCAATCTCAGCTCACTGCAACCTCTGCCACCTGGGTTCAAGCAATTCTTCTGCCTCAGCCTCCTCAGTAGCTGGGATTACAGGTGCCTGTTACCATGCCCGGCTAATTTTTTTGTATTTTTAGTAGAGATGGGGTTTCACCGTGTTCGCCAGGATGGTTTCGATCTCCTGACCTCGTGATCCGCCCGCCTAGGCCTCCCAAAGTGCTGGGATTACAGGCGTGAGCCACCGCACCCAGCTACACTAAAGAATTTTTATGTGACTTAGTTCAAAAAGACCTTGGTACTGGTATATAATACTAAGCCCTAACCCTTTGATTTTTCAGATGCCTAATATCATCAAGAAGCCTGAACATTCTGTCTCTGGAGCAGTTTTTATTATTATTTTGATGTTTGATCAAGCCTAAAGAAGGTAGATAATAAACACGAAAATCATAAAAGGAGGAGCAGGCATCGATTTTCCTTATGACTTTAGACATGTTTGAAGTGCATTTGGTATCTGGATTTGGCAATTGTAAAATCTGTTTTAAATGCATATGGAAGAAGATTAGAAAAGAATACAAAAGACTGGGCACGGTATCTCACGACTCCTGCCTGTAATCCCAGTACTTTGGGAGGGAGGCCGAGGTGGGTGGATCGCCTGAGTTCGAGAGTTAGAGACCAGCCTGCCCAGCATGGTGAAACCCTGTCTCTACTAAAAATACAAAAATTAGCCAGCCATGGTGGCAGGCTCCTGTAATCCCAGCTCTTTGGGAAGCTGAGGCAAGAGAATTGCTTGAACAACCCTGGAGGCGGAGGTTGCTGTGAGCTGAGATCATGCCACCGCACTCCAGCCTGGGCAACAGAGCAAGAGTCCATCTCAAAAAAAAAAAAAAAGAATACAGAAAAGATAGTTCTACTAAGATGACGTGATTATGCTTGGTATTTTTTCCATAGGTTTACGTACTATTTTTATTTTTATAATAAAACTGTTTCTCATTTTTAAAAATACAAATGTGGGAGAAAGTTCTTGGTTGATTCCAAATACTTATCTAATGGCCAGATTTACACTGAATATAAAACATGTCACCCACAGATGACCTAACAATGTAAAACAATACCAAAACCTCATACATTCCCACTTCTATGGGAATATATCTGGAACAAGTTCCTGTTGCGTTAAAACATACAACACCAATAATAATAAAGTCTTCATTTTTACACATTTGTCACTGAATCCTAGGAATACTTTTCAATACAAATAGTAAAATCTTGTCAAATTTTTTAGCTATTTCCGTATTTGTTTTGGCAGTAAGTTTACTTTTTGCAGAATGAAAATACTTGATCAAGACCAGTTTAATTAGACCCATATTTTTAAGAATCCCACCATAATGATTATATTCCAAGTATAACAGAATCCCTGCTTAGAAATATTTGTAAGAGTTAGCTTAAATTAGTGTGTGTATGTGTGTATGTATATATATATATATATATATATGTGTGTGTGTGTGTGTTGAGTTATTAAATCTGCATTTAAAAATTCAGACATTTGAGCTGGGCATGGTGGCTCGCACCTGTAATCCCAGCACTTTGGGAGGCTGAGGCAGGTGGATCACCTGAGGTCGGGAGTTTGAGACCAGCCTGACCAACATGGAGAAACCCTGTCTCTACTAAAAATACAAAATTAGCTGGGAATGGTGGTGCAGGCCTGTAATCCCAGCTACTCGGGAGGGTGAGGCAGGAGAATCGCTTGAACCCAGGAGGCAGAGGTTGTGGTAAGCCAAGATTGCGCCATTGTGCTCCAGCCTGGGCAACCACAGTGAAACTCCGTCCAAAAAAAAAAAAAAAACATTCAGACTTTTTTATTCATTTATATTATACTCTTCTCTAATTAGCCTACTTACTTTAAACCATTTATTGCTTTAAAATTGTTTCACGGCAATTATTTAAAATAAAAAACAGTCAAAAAAGGCATTAGGAAATATTTCAATAACTCTATCTCTTAATAAAATAGAAACAATAACTATTATATTCATTCGCTGTTTGATTTTAATTACTTCAATGAGGTATAAGACTTCATATCAAAGTACTACAAAATAGTATGACTTGATATATAATGAGTACATGGTCTCAATTGAGAATGTAATTAATTCATTAAGACTTGGCTTAAAAACTATAATATGTGTGCCAGAGAAACTACTTTATTCATATTTCATCTAAGTTAGTGAATACCAGTTTTGCAAATTTTCAGTTTGTGAGAACTGTGACCTCCTAGTCAGAGCTCTGATTGACAGCTGGATACAACTAAATATTCTATTATCCCCATAAGCTCTCCAGTGTGAAAACTTGTTGCAGTCCCCCTTGGAGCCCCAAATAATGGCCGGTTATATGCAATACATAGAATGCTCAAATTTACCTCAAGTTTAGCATCCAGTTCAGCATCAGACGCCACCAAGTGCTCATCCTCTTTTTTTCCTGTTGCTTTGATAAAGACCTGTTTAGTTTTCCAGTATTTCTTTTGCATTCTGCTGACTACTGACTGATTATCTTCTGGTCTGGGTTGCCCAAAGGAATCCATGGAGTGACTACAATGAACAGACTAAAATTAAACTTCTTGTAAAAATTCTCAATAATAGGCCGGGCACGGTGGTTCATGCCTGTAATCCCAGCACTTTGGGAGGCGAATCACAGGGTCAGGAGATCGAGACCATTCTGGCTAAAACGGTGAAACCCTGTCTCTATTAAAAATACAAAAAAAATTAGCCAGGTGTGGTGGCAGGCACCTGTAGTCCCAGCTACTCGGGAGGCTGAGGCAGGAGAATGGCGTGAACCCGGGGAGGGAGCTTGCAGTGAGCCAAGATCGTGCCACTGCAACTCCAGCCGGGAGACAGGGCAAGACTCCCGTCTCAAAAAAAAAAAAAAATCAATATATACTTTACAGCCAATATTTAATCTAGACAATAGAAAAAGGTACTAGAATATAATTTTTTTTTAGAGTCAGGGTCTAGTTCCATCGCTCAGGCTGTACATGTAGCTGTGCAACATAGTTCACGATAACGTGGCGTTCAAGCAAGCTCCTGCCTCAGCCTCTCTATACAACACATAGAGAGAGAGAACAGAATATACAACACAATCCGACCCTATTATTGATGATCTCAGTCTGCATAATGCTTGCTTTAGTTACAATTTCAACTATATATGCACATGAAACAGAAAGATAATTATATTAATATGACAATAAACTTAAACATATACATAAATATATATATTGACAAGAGATTAAATATATAAATATGAATATAAAAATTAACTTTCCTAAGTATAGACATATAATAAATGATAAATAACATAACAATAACTTACAACATATCTTACATACTACTATACATATCAATACCATATATAAAAAATAAAAAAATAAAACAGTCAGACAAACATCCATTTAATATTTTCAGATATGCAGATTCCAGACACATACTCCTTTAAAAAATCACGTCAAGAAGAAATATTTAAGTGTCCATAAATCAACACAAGTTCCTTCAGGTAAAGAGAGAAGATATGTTATAAAGAATACAGTGGACATTATAAAATGGTAAACATAAAATTACATATGCCAGGCGTGGTGCTCATGCCTGTAATCCCAGCCTATTGGAGGAAAGGGTGGTGGATCACGGGTCAGGGAGGATCGAGAACGCATCCTGGCCACATGGTGAACCCTGTCTCTACTAAAATACAAAATTAGCCTGGGCGTGGTCTGGACCGCACCTGAATCCTCAGCAACTCAGGAGGGCGAGGCAGTGAGATCACTTGGACACAGAGGCAGAGAGTTGCAGTGGAGCCAAGATCGCACCACTGCACTCCAGCCTGGTGACAAAGCAAGACTCCGTCTCAAAAAATAAAATAAAATAACCTCTAAGAAGTTATTCTTAACAAGGTTAACATGGCTACATAAGGAAATGCAAATGTGAAAAGTATTTCTTAAGGATATATAAAAAGAATAAATACTAATAACAGTTTGGATCTAAAGCTCAAATTATTCCAACAAACTGTAAGAGTAGGAACAAAAGGGAAATACTAAAGTATGTGACTCACTCGTTATTTCCAAACACATTGATAGATGCTAGTGTATTTTTCATGTTAGTAAAGAAATAGAGGTTCATTTTCTTTTAATTTTAAGTAATTACTAATTAAATAAAAATAGAATGTTTAATTTCCAAATTACTAGGGGTAAAACAAAAGAGCCAGAAAAACTTGAGCAAAAGCAAAAGACTGAGTGAGAAAAACAGGAGTAAGGCATATAACACAAAGTACGAAACAAGAAGATGGAAGAAGAAGAACAATTACATTATTTAGTATGATAGATGCAAACTTCTTTTTAAATACAAAGAATCTCAAATCATAAAAAACAAAAATCAAAATCCAACTATATGCTATTTGAGATCTACTTAAAACAAAATGACACAGAAACATAAAAATAAAGATATGAGTTAAGATATACCAGGTAAATAGAAACAAAATGAAATTAGAATAGCTATATTAGTATCAGACAAAGCAGATTTAAATAAAAAGCATAAAATAGAACAAGGACAAGCTGTAAAGTCCAAAAAGTGGCCAATTTTCCAGATACCCTCTGGATTATTATCCTTTGGATATCCTCCTACATTCCTGGGCAGTATATATTAGTCACCATTTAATTGCCAAATCTCTTAATATGTTATCCTGGAAAATTTGTCTGGACATTATTTGGAACAGAGAGGAAATTTAATTTGGGTACCTAGGGAGCACGGATTTGATATAAGCATTATATTGTTCTGACACATCGAGTGTCTTGAGAGAAACTTAGTTTTTCTTTCCCATCCAGTTTCTTTCTTCTTTTGGTTGCTCTCAACTGCTTTCAGTCCTCCTCCTCCTTCCCTCCCCTCCCAATTTTATAAGACTTATCAGCAGTCCAACCATATGACAAACTGTTAATCTCTTCTACTAAACTGACTGCAGGTTTAAGCTCAATTAGGAGAACAAAATACTAGGGAGTATCAGAAGAGAATACCTCTTCCCTGCGTCAACTTCCATGTTGATGTAGTTCAAACAATATACTCCTGTCCTCGGCAACCACTCTCTCAGTATCTCTTTGGAAGAGAAAGAGTAACTTATCTGATTGGACATCAAAAACTCGACTCCTCCATTCTGGAAACTATCTTGCCTGCAGAGGGCACATGGTCCCTGGCAAAGGGAGCAAGTGACCGGGAGCATAAATCTGCAAAAGGTGGGATTTGCACAGTTGTGGTTTTATGACTGAGGGCACTGCTAAATCTGCTTACCACTGGGGGTAGGTTAGGCAGGAAGCCAAGTCTTACTGGCTTGACATAGATAACAGAGTTCAAGGCTGGCAGAACTATCAGATATTTAGGAGAGATTTCATAAAAGGGAGGGAGCCAAAGAGGAGGAAACCCCAAAATTTGTATATAAAATCCTCCCAAGACCTGTGCTAATCACTAAACTAATCATGAGGCAAGGGAGGGAAACCCAAGAATCATGACAGAAAATCAATCACTGAAAAATGAAATAACTAAGTAAAGATTTCAGCACTACCACTACAGAGGAGACAGTTTGGAGTCTGAGTTCAGTCAAGTTAACTGGCTTCTAAAATAAAAATTCTTTTTCAGAAAAGCAAAACAGAATCCGCAATCTCTCAAATGCATCATTCAAAATCCCAAGTATCCAATCAAAAAAACACTAGACATATAAAGAAATAGGAAAACGTGACCTATTCAGCCTTTAAAAAGAAAGAAATCTTGTCATTTGTGACAATATGGATAAACCTGAAAGACAAATACCACATGATCTCAATTACATGTAAAATCTAAAAAAGTTGAACTAATAGAAGTAGAGAGTAGAATGGTAGTTACCAGAGGCTGGGGAGAGGGGTATTGGGAAGATGTTTGTCAAAGGACACAAAATTTCAGTTAGAAGGAGTAAGTTCTATTGTACAACAGAGGGACAATAGTTAATAATGATGTATTACATTCTCGGAGGTCTACTGTATAACATGGGGACTATAGTTCTTAACAATGTATTATATTTTTGGAGGTCTATTGTACAACATGGGGATTATAGTTAATAACAATGTATTATATTCTTGGAGATATCTATGAAGCAGGATTTTTAGTGTTCTTACCAGAAAAAAAAGATGATGTAATATGTATGTTAATTATGTTGATTTAGCCATTCCACAGTGTTTCAAACGTAATGTACATGACAAATATATCCCATTTTCTCAATTAAAAATAATTTCTGAATTAAAAATGGTAAAAAATTCTTCAGTCTTAAGGAAAATTACACCAGATAATTTGGATTTATAGAAAAGAATGGAATGACCATAATTGGTAAATGTCCTCAGAAATATAATACCATTGTTTCTTTCTTAATTTCTTCACATTATATAACTTTTACATGCATAGAGGCCGGGTGTGGTGGCTCACACCTGTAATCCCAGCAGTTTGAGAGGCTGAGGTGGGTGGATCGCTTGAGCTTGGGAGTTCAAGGCCAGCGCGGGCAACATGGCAAGATCCTTTCTCTACAAAAAATACAAAAATTAGCTGGGCGTGGTGGCTGGCACCTGCAGTCCCTGCTGCTCGGGAGGCTGAGGTGGGAGGATCACTTGAGACTGGGAGGTGGAGGTTGCAGGGAGCCAGGACTGTGCCACTGCACTCCAGACTGGGTGAAAGAGGCACATCCTGTCTCAAAAAACAAAAACAAAAAACCCTACCATACACAGAAAACAATAAAATAGCAGCTCAATTATCAATTCTACCATTTTAAAAAACATCATTGATATGTTTACCCATTCTTTACCACCTCACTCCATCATCATCATCATATGGTTCTTTTCCATAAAATTTACATACACTGACACCTCTAATTTTTAGCTATATACTTTTTTCATTACTTATTTTACTTACAGATTCAGGGTCTCACTCTGTTGCCCTGGTTAGAGTACAGTGGCACAATCATAGCTCACTGCAGTCTCAAACTCCTGGGCTCAAGTAATCCTCCCAACTAAGCTTCTGGAGTAGCTGGGACCACAGGAAACACACCATCATGCCTGGCTAATTTATTTTTATTTTTGTAGTGACAAAGTCCCACTATGTTGCCCAGGCTTATTTATTTTTAATTGACAAGGAAAAATTGTATATATTTATGATGTATAACATAATGTTTTAAAATGTGTACACATTGTAGAATGGCTAATCTCCTTGGTTAAATTTATTCCTAAGTATTTTGATTTTTTTACTAGCTATTGTCAATGGCATTGTTTTATTGATTTCTTCTTCCTTTTTTTTTTTTTTTTTTTTGAGATGGAGTCTTGCTCTGTTGCCTAGGCTGGAGTGCAGTGCTGCTGCAGCCTCCACCTCCCAAGTTCAAACAATTCTCCTGCCTCAGTCTCCTGAGTGGCTGGGATTACAGGTGCATGCCACCATGCCTGGCTAATTTTTGTATTTTTACTAGAGATGGGGTGTCACCATGTTGGCCAGGCTGGTCTCAAACTCTTGACCTCAAGTGATCCTCCCACCTTGGCCTCCCAAAG